TGGTACAAAATTTTCTCTAAAGAATACTCACTCTCACTATGTACAACCTACTCAGTTTTCATCTATTTCATTGTTTAAATGCTGATAACAACCGACTAAACTGATCTCACTGCCAATTAATAGATCATGACTGGAAGTTTTAAAAACCCTGGTTTATATAATGGTTACATAGGAAATGTAATGAATTTGTGGAAAGAGTACACTTTGAGAAAATTTTAATTCCAGTTAGATAAATAAAAGTTTTCATTTAACATCCATTACCGTATAAAACTCTATAATGGTGCTATGTTCTTACCGCTCTTCAAAATTTAGAAAAGAGAATTAAGAGGACAACACTTACTTTCCCAAAGTAGTCAAATAGCATCTTCTCTTGTAGCTTTAATAATATTTACCAACTTGCAAGTAAAAGTTAACGTATAAACTTTGTATCCAGGCTATGAGGTATAATTTAAAGCACTCTGGCTTTGGAAATGGGCAGACCTGGGCTCAAGTCCTGGTTCTGCCACTTATTAACTCTGTGACCTTTGTCAGGTTTCTTAACCTCTCTGATTCCCTGTTTATTTGTCTGTCAATGGGGGAAACAACATTTACCTACTTTGTTGCCGTTGTTGTTGAACAAGCCACATTACTCATGGTCCTATATTTGGTACTTGGTGGGCATGCAATGAATGCCAATTGTTATTATTTCAAGGGTTAAAATATAGACCACTTGTTAAGCTCCTAGCACAATGCCTGGCACAAAGAAACAATAAATATGAACGATCTTTCCATGCCAACAACCAGAGTGGAAATACACTTGTAATCCAAGTGCACAGAAATGTACAAACCAATTATATGATTTTGTACCGCACATGATTTTTAAAGAAAGATATCTACCGGACAAAGTAAATCACATGGATAACATCGACGCTGTTGGAGAGATTGAGTCCCATTTGTATAAAGTGAAAAATTATTCATCACTGTTGTGGCATTTTTCTTAATTGCCTCACTGATATAGTCATTAAAGTGATCTCAATGCATTCATTCAATAAGCCTAAATTTATTAAGACCTACAATGCCAGGTACTGGGGATAAAATTATTCACAATAAGAAACAGGTTCTAGAAACGTGGTTAAAGTAACCAATAGTTAGCATTTACTTTTCCTTCCAGGCAGCCCATCACCATGGACCACTGACATCAGTATTATCTCTGTGCTTTTTAGCTCTTCCTGATTGTACTCTAACTTTCCTCACCAAGTCAGAGGATGGCCTAAAGATGCTTTGTTGGCATTAACAACAACTCCATGGTCCACTTCTTGGCGATCTACTTTAGATGTTAAAATACCTTCCCATGTTCAAGAATTCCTTGTCTTTGACAGTTTGTCCTCAGCTCTAACTGGACAAGTCCGTAATCCACCTACACGTAATCTTAGTTCCATCTCACCATTATTTTACTTGCCTCTTACAAAGTAAGCAGTGAAGTTAGCTAAGTATCACATCATTTGGAGTATAAAATGAAAAATGTCCTCCTTTTCTCTATTTTAAAATTTCCATGCCTCCCTCCCCACTACTTTATTGTATGTCCTGCTTGTGATAGATTTTAAATACATAGTCATCATGGCAATATGGCGGAAAAATGCCCTTTATTCAGATACATAGCATCTGCAGACACTTTCAAATAGTTTTCATTGGGAGTGCTGCAATTTTTGCTAAGAAAAATAACTGCTGAGTGCCTGTGTGCAAAGCTGAAGGGCCTACAAAGATGCCTGAGATAAAATCCCTTCACCAGGGAGTGTATAGTTTAATCAGAGAGATGTCGCATCTACCAATTGCTATAAGGGAGAGAATGACTCACAAGGTGTCTGAGGGAAGGACCATAAAGTTGAATCTCATTCTTAAATTCACACGTACGGTGACTTGGTTCTTATCACTTTTCCAGATGGCTTTTGTTGCCCAAATTAGCTTGTTTGACCAGTGCCTACAACTGAAAAAAAGACATGCATAATTTGGAAAGACAGAAATCTCGAGGTGACAGTATTCCAGATGTGTGATGTTAGTAAAACAAACTCTTCGGGTATCTGTGGAGTTTGGTTGTGCTGTGACATTTGACAAGCGAAAGATGTTTAAAGCTCCACAAAGAATTGCTCTTTGCTCTTCCAAAAAATGGCGTAAGAACTTCTTGGGGGTGGATCCGTGGTTTTAGGACAGAATGCCTTCTACATGGATATTGCCACCAATTCGCTATATGGTTCATGTTTAAATTCAGAAATAAATATTGCCCAAGCAGCCCCCAGCTTAGATGGTAGTTTGCAATAAGGAGGAAATCTGGCGAGTTGCAGAAAATTGTTGCTCTGATCACAGAGCTTTAAAATCTGTGAAAAATGGGAATCTTTTTCACTTCTTGATCAACAACAGATGGAGGTCTTTGATCTTAGAAACACTCTGTCAATTCTATTTAAACCACCAATTTAGAAGTTCCCTAAACCAGATACATAAACTAGCTATCTGAGGGGCATACCTGTAGTAAATCCTGATAGATCAAGTTTTATTAACGGGGCTGCTGCTCACTCATTAACTGAAGTTGCCTTAACTGTGCTCTCATGTGCTCAGCTGATACGGATGGTCTTGCTGTAATATAGCACGTGGGTCCATGCTCCCAATCAGATAGCCAGTCTCCCCTCTTTCCTACCTCTTTGTTTTTTTATTTTTTTTAACATCTATATTGGAGTATAATTGCTTTACAGTGTTGTTAGCTTCTGCTGTATAACAAAGTGGATCAGCTATACATATACATACATCCCCATATCTTCTCCCTCTTGTGTCTCCCTCCCACCTTCCCTATCCCACCCCTCTAGGTGGTCACAAAGCATCGAGCTGATCTCCCTGTGCTATAGCTTCTTCCCACTAGCTATCTATTTTACATTTGGTAGTGTATATATGTCCATGCCACTCTCTCACTTCGTCCCAGCTTACCCTTCTCCCTCCCCATGTCCTCAAGTCCATTCTCTACGTCTGCTTTCTTTATTCCTGTCCTGCCCCTAGGTTCTTCAGAACATTTTTTTTTTTTTTTTTTTTTACATTCCATATATATGTGTTTGTTTTCTACCTCTTTAGCTCTTTGTACTGCATTTGGGTAATTTTCTCAGATGTGTTTTTCAGATCTCTTTACAGTTTACTCTTTATTCAACTGGGTCTAACCTGTATTTATTTATAATATCTATCTCTGTTTTAAATTTCAGCTTGTCTATTTGTCAGCAGTAATTGAAAGAATAATTCCATTAATTTGAAGACATTTTATGTGATTCTTGTAAAATCTGACTTGAAATATTTTAAATTCTTTTCACATGTTTTCAGTTCCTACTTTTATATCTTTAGACTTTATAAACATCCTAATTTTAGGTTATTTGAACTAGAACTATTGCATAGTTCTAGTTTGTGAAATTCTTGGTGGTGGGGGGGGTGAGCTGGGGTGCTCCCGATCCCTTTGTCTACAGACCCTTGTTCATGGTGGATGGCTTGTGTGTTTTGTACTCTGGGATTTTGAGGTTTTTTTCAGAGGCCTTTCTTTTTGGTCATCCAGTATAGGCTGAGGGCGAGCGTTTGTCCCTCCGGAGCGGTTTTGTGTGTGCATTTGTCAGGGCCTCCGAAGTTATCACCGGCTGGGGCCAGCCAGTAGTGGTTCAATCTGGGCTTCGAACCTACATGAGGTGCGCCTGTGGTTATCAGTTCTCAGGGAGCCTTTGTTTCACCCTCACTGAGATCCAGGCTAAGACAGTCAAGTTTCTTAACTGTCTCCTTTTACAGGTTGGAGAATTTCTTTTGCTAATCCTCTCTTGGGCAGAGGGGATGGTCTTTTGAGAGTTCCAACTTTATGTGGGAGTCTCAGTTCTAACTCTGGCACTCACACTTCCTGGGCCTTCGTCTCCTGAATCACGTGGACTTATAATCCACATCTCCTGTTACCGAGACTGGTAAACTGCTCTCCTCTTAAGGCAGACAGCAATAATTCAGAGGCTTAGTTCTGGTTTTCAGATCTCTCTGTGTGTTTGACCCTGGAAAATTCCTTATTTTCTTGAGAACTCAGCTGTGCATTTTAAAAGATATTTATTATATTTTACCCAGAATTTCTAAGCTTCTAATAGCAAAAGATTTTTTCAGGATATCTAGTCTGCCAAGAGCACATCATCATCCTCTGACAGTGTCTGCTAGTGGGTGGAATATGCCTGTCTACAGTCAAAGAGGAGTATGGAGAAGGGGCCCCTGCCCTTTAGAAGCTCATGGACTTTTTCGTCTAACTCATTCATAGGTTCTGATGACTGTTCATTCAGTCTTTCACTGAATCATCCTTACATTTGTAGCATATTCAAGCAAATAGTTAGTTCCTACTATCCAAGCTTTTGTTCATTTATTCAGCAAATATATATTGTGTCTAGCATCTGCTACATGCCGCACATGTGCTCATGCTCAGCAAAAACATATCTGATCCTTATCTTCATGGAGGACGCAAATAATCACATAAATAAATGCAAAATTGCAAATGTAGCAAGTGTCAGAAAGTAAATGTGCATGTTGCTGTGAGATGTGCAATGGGGGATTTACCCAGCTCAAGCCAGAAAGGGCTCATTTGGGGAAGTGAAGAAAGAGTGGCTTTCACTGAGTGAAAGGCGGTATATGCAAAGGCGCTGGGTTGAGGATGACGGGCTGAAAGAAGGGTGGTTAAATGGAAGAGGAAATAGAAGAATATGGTCTCAGAAAAGGCTGAGAGGGAGCTAAGAGGCAAACCATGGAAGATGTTGTAGGCTGTGTTAAGGAGTTTTGTATTTATCCTGAGTCATTGAAGGGCTTTAAACAGGGGAATGACACATCTAATTTGCCCTTTGGAAGATCTTTCTGACTTCAGAAAAGAGAACAGATTTGAGGGGGCAGGAGTGACAATGAAACTAGTTAGGAGGCTGTTGTCAGTGGACTAGATGATAATTGCTGGAGCTCGATGCCAGTTTTGGCTTTGTGGATATGACGACATGGACAGATTTGAGATTTATTTTGCAGGTGAAATTATCAGGGAGAAGAAGAGAGATGGCCTAAGAACAATTCCAAAGTTTCAGGCTTATGTAAATGGATGGTTGATGGTGCTCCTTTACTGAGATGGGGAACACTGGAAAAAGACAAGGTTTGGTGGAAAGGCCATCGGTTTTTCTTTTGTACGTATTGAGTTTGAGGTTTTTGAAACATCTAAGAGGAAAATATCAAGAGGCAGTTGGATATATGGGTCTAAAGTTCGGAGAAGAAATCTTGGGACATAAATATGTGAGTAATTTTTTATAGGTGATCATTAGATGAGATTTCCTATGGAGAGATGATAGATATCCCTTGAATATAGAGACATGGAGGTTATTGGTGACTTTAATAAGCTCCCACTGTTTTCTCAAGTGCCATTCTAAATGCTTAACATGCACTGACTTAATCTCCAAACAAGTCTCTGAGGTTGGTACACTTATCCCACGCAGGACATGAGGAAACTGGTCGCCAAAGAGGAGCCATGACTTACATAGTAGGAGAACAGGGATTTGAACCCAGACAGTCTGGCTGTGGAGTTCATGTTCTTAACCGCTATGCTATACTGCTGCTCAATACGTGGGTGCACAAGAAAGTATTTGTATCATCGGGGAGCCAAGGCTCATCCATCTACAGATATTGAAAATGTTTGTGGTTATATAATGCCTTTGGAGCAAAAGTATAAACTAATGTTGATTCAAGTACTTTGTTAAAACTCCTTCTTCGCTTTCTATTATATAACAAGACAGGCACAAATGGAAGTGTCCCTAGACCGGCTTTAGCTTTAATCAGTGGCCTTTAACAAATATGTGCACATTATTCATTTAATTGCACCTGTAACTAGGTGGTGGCCTCGCTGCTGAGGGTATAATAGGTAAGTAAGCAGAACCCACAACAGTCTGAAGCCACTTGCTCCTCTGCCAAGATGTGTCATTTGTGAGTTTCATTAACCAATGTCCCAAAATAAGTGACCTTTTCCAGGGCCCTGGGGAGTGGCTTTAACTACATCTGTGTGTGTTTCTTTTCCTCCTAAGGATTTAACAACACCGAGAGAACATGTGACAAAGAGTTTATCATACGTAGAACAGCCACCAATCGCGTACTGAACGTCCTCCGTCACTGGGTCTCAAAGCACGCACAGGTAATTCAGTGGCCTCGGTAATTACTTTCAAGGATTTGTTTTAAAACCAACTTTTTAAGTCATTACAACGCCTTCTGATTCTTTGGAGCTGGAGTCTGAAACCTTGAAATTGGAACATAGGAAGGGAAGAAGCTGGAGGGTGGGCATACAGATCAAAGCAAACAAACGTGTACCGCTAACATCTGCTGTTTCAGATCTGCAAAGGGCACGACACAAGAGGTCAAGCAGGGCTGCCCTCTGCCCTCATCTCTCAGGCAACAGCACCCACTGCGGGCACTAGAGCTGTGGCAGGGCCACTGTCCCCTGCCACCCGGGAGCACTGTTCACAGGGCCCTCTCTGTAAGTGGAGTTGGCTCACCTGGGGTGGTACCTCTTGGAAGTAAACAGCAGGTGCCCCTAGAAGTAAGCAACATTCTGGTACCAGACACTCTGGCGTCTGGTCAGGGAGTGTTTTCTCAGCCCGATTCAGAAGATACTTTGCCTCATGCCCTTTGATGTTTTGGTTTCTAGTACAGTTGTCTCTTGAACAATGTGATGGTTAGGAGTACCAGCCCTCTGCGCAGTGGAAAATTTGCATATAACTTATAGTTGGCTCTCTGCACCCATGGTCATGTGATATATGTGGTTCTTCCATATCTGAGGATTCAACCAACTGCAGATTGTGTAGTACCGTAGAACTTACTCTTGAAAGACATCCACATACAAGTGGACCCATGCAGTTCAAATCTATGTTGTTCAAGAGTCTAATGTACTCTGTTTTTAAACTGCATCATGCTGACAGGACACCTGCTTGTTATCTATTTGTGTGTTTTCAGTGCAAGTTTATAGAATTTATATGGATTTCACCATCTCACAAAATAAAGCAAGGGCCCCCTTTGCCTCATGGATTCAAGGCATGAATTGTGCCAAACGATGCCCCCACTGCCAGATAAAGGGTGGGCCCTCCTGGACACTGGCTGGCTAGCACCCAGCAAGGAGAGTTTGAGAGAGAGAAGGGGGCCCTTCATGGCTTAGATCAGAACATGGGAAACATAAAATGTGAGTTAGCTAATGAGTAGAGAAAAAGAAAAAATGCAAGGAATTCCCATGGCTCACTTCATTTTATTCTCAGAGGTCTGCCGCCTGGCCCTTGGTAATGACCGTTCATCAGAGAGAGTCACACAAGGGCCAGGCTTCTGAAACCCCTGTGGCAAGACAACTCACTAATTGGAAGAAGTGGGATTTGGACCTCACCACCAGTTAGCCTGTGACAACTCTTAAATACTAATTAAAATAAAAACAAAGACAGCACATTAAGTAAAGTATGTAAGCATTTCATCTTACACATCTTTAGTAAATAAAAATGGATCCTGTATGACCCAAATTCTGAGAACCATCCTTAGCTCACTGAAATGTCTAGTCTCTCTTTTCCACAGTCTCAGTGAGCCGCTTTGAATCCCTTGTGCCACATTGCAGATAAAACATGAGAGTCATGTTTCTCCTGCATCTGACTGTCCATCCCATCATCTCTAGTTTTTGACTCAGAGTTTTGGCTTCTGATTCCTGGATCCGACAGTGGCTTAGAGATGCAGAGTAGCTTCGATAGACAAAATTGAGCAGATGCTAATTTGCTCTCTTCCCCGGTCACAACTTGGCCCCTGCAAGTTCATGCCAAGACTCAAAGTCACAGCCCAGGTTTCCCTGGCCCCAGCTCCCTCCTCTCCTCCCTCAGGAGCTCTAACCCTGCTTCCCCATCAGCCTCACTTTCCTTTTATCAATCCCCAGTGCCCTCTTTTTCTTTTTTTATAAATTTATGTATTTATTTGTTTTTATTCTTGGCTGCGTTGGGTCTTCGTTTCTGTGCATGGGCTGCCTCCAGTTGCCGTGAGCGGGGGCCACTCCTCGCCACGGTGCACAGGCCTCTCATCACAGTGGGCCTCTCCCGCTGCAGAGCATGGGCTCCAGGTGCACGGGCCTCAGCAGTTGCGGTATGTGGGCTCAGTAGTTGTGGCTCACAGGCTCAGTAGTTGTGGCCCATGGGCTTAGCTGCTCCGTGGCATGCGGGATTCTCCTGGATGAGGGCTTGAACCCGTGTCCCCCGCATTGGAAGATGGACTCTTAAACACTGCACCACCAGGGAAGCCCAGTGCCCTCTTTTTCTAATCTCAACAGGGATCCCTCACAATTCACGTATAACTCTTATAGTAGCTGGAAAAGTACCACAAATCAAATTACAGTAGGCTAGGTTTATTTTACTTTTGGTAAAGAGAATTCATAGATGGGAAGAGATTGGTGTGCTGAATCCGTCACTTATAGTTAAGAGATTAAGAGCAAAATGTTATCATCTGATTTGATAGCTACCTTGTACACGCATGTATACATGTGTGCATACAGGCAATATCAAGTTGAATAGCACCTAGCCATTGGAATAGAAAATGGATTGATGTGAAGGCAAGAGTCTCTTTATTCAGATTGTCCTGGTGGCCTTTAGTTCTAATCCAAAAAGCCCCTAGGTGTTGTCTTTTGTTTGGACAGTTCAGATACTTTGCAGCCTGTTACTTCAGACGTGCTCACACATGGGAAAGCACTTTGTAATCAATTCCCATTAGGGGACCACACTGGGAAGCCCAGCTTCCCAGACCCTCTCCACATCAGGGGGTACATCGCTACATGTGTGGATGGTACAAATTGCTCAGGCATCCAGTCCTTTCTCTTGTCAGGATTACGGTATAAAATTTAGACCCCGACGTGCCAAAGGCAGTTCTTACCACTCACTCATTTGTCTTTTCTTACCTTCCCTGCATGAGTGAGTGGATTGTGGGGATCTGTGGTTAGTGTTCGATTGTCCTGGTATAACTTCATCATGTGCACAGCCTGTCACCTTTCCTCATTCAGCCGAGTTCTCCATCATCCTCTGTGTAAGCGCGTGAGGTGCAGGGTGTTTCTGTAACATTTCTGCTTGTTGGCAAGTGCTTTAGGACTTTCTTTGCTGGTGTCAGTGTCCAGGTTTCCTTTCCTCCCTTTACTAATTTGCTTTAGGCTTGACTTGAGCCCAGGTCTGTCCATTCCAAAGCCAGAGTGCTTTAAATTACACCTCATGGCCTGGATCCAAAGTTTAGACTTTAGGTTTCACTTGCAAGTTGGTAAACAACACCTACAAGAGAAGTTGCTATTTGACTATTTGGGGAAAGTCAGTGCTTTCCTTTTAATTCTCTCTTCTGAATTTTGAAGGGCAGTAAGAGCATAGCACCATTATAGAGTTTCATATGGATTTTAAACAAAACCTTTATTTATCCAACTGGCATTACAAGTAAAATGTAATTAAATTCAATTTTAATTACATTTTATTTTAAATGTAATTAAAATTAAAATGTACTCTTTCTCCAAATTCATTACGTTTCCTATGTGACCATTATAGAGACCAGACCAGTCCTAATCTCTTAATGGAGAGTGGGATCAATTTAGTGGGTTGTTACCAAGAGCAGGTCTGGATTAGTAAACAGTTCCAGTGGACAGAGCTGGTTCAGCTCACGGTCCTAGAGGCCCCATTGTGTGCCCAGCGTATCCTCTCACCGCTGCGGCACAGCCCCAGCCAGGTGAGTTAGAGGAAGTGGGAGCATGGCCCCTGACTTGAGGGACCCTAAGCAGGGTGACCACCACGGTGCTTAAAGAAGGATTAACAGCACAGCTTGATGCCTTTATTCAGGTTTATCTAAAGGTCTCTACTCTTCCAAAGGCAACGTCCAGCTGTGAGATGAGACTGCTGGTCTGAAAACTTGGGCTATAATCTGACTCTGCCAGGTTGTCTTTGGTTTTCACATCACGAATGAAGGGCTGGGACAAGAGGGGTTTTGTTATCTGATTCATTCAGTATCAGTTGAGTCCATTTAAGGAAGAGTGTAGCATTATTGTGGCTACCTGAAGTAGTAGCTTTTAAAAAAATGAGTAGGGAGTTGTACTCATTTCACAAAGCAGTGCAGCGTGCTAACAATTGCATTTTTTCTCACATGGTAGACTAAGTAGGGACACCATTGCATGTAGAAAACAGGAAAGCCACAGTGAAACAAGGTGTAAATCTGTCTCCAAATGATCTAGAAAATCGAGTCTCCTACAAAGTATTGGATATCATGCATTTATTTCTCATTTCTCATCAAAGGTAACTAATATGGGCAGATACTACCCTGAACTTATTTCAGGAGAAATAAAGAGCTGCAGAAGTATGGGTGTCGGTTCTCCAGAGATATAAAATTTCCCTAGGATGTCACCTTCAACTCTCCCCATCACCCCAAAGATAGTGCTAGAATGCCATTTCTTCTCCTGGAATCTTCTAGCCTTTTCTTTAGTATTTGGTAAAGCTAAAATATTTCTTTTTTTTCCTGATTCTAAAAATTTTCATCTGTGAACATACTCTGCCCTGATTGCTCCTCATTTTATAGTGCTTTTTCACTCATTTTTTTCCTTCCATGTTGAAAGTGAAGCCACAAGGCCGAGCTGAGTTTCTCCCATATGCCTTGTCTATGCATCGCAGCCCAGAGTCAGGGAGGACCTGTGTTTTTCTTCCAGCTCCGCCATTATATCTTCTCTGGGACCCTGAGCTGCTCACTCAGTCTCTCTGGGCGCTAATTTCCCCCTCTAAAAAAGAGAACAACCATCCCTGTTTTACCGCACCTAAGGATGTGGTGAGAATTAAAGGTGACGTTGGATTAAGAAGCATGAAGGACATAAAGTACAACATAGGTGCCTATGACTATACCCCTTCCAGCTGAGGCCAGGAGAGATACACACTTCCTCTCCCTCCAACCAGCCTGGAAGCTCCGTCCAGACAAGGATCTTTGTATCTCCTTTCACTGGCTCCGCAATGCTGAGTATGTGGTAGAGGCCCAGTAATGGTTGTTGAGTTTATATTTTAATGTTGCTGTTGTTCATTCTCTCCAGGAAGTCATTTTCTAGCCTTTAAAGTTTCCAAAGTCAGCCAAGTCAGAGACTACAACCACTAGTGGACCAGAAATCAGGGCTGTGAG